AGTTGCTGGTGAGTTTGAACCGCCAACCTTCTGGTTAGCAGTCAAATGTCTTGGTCACTATGCAACCAGACCTCCAATATAAGACAGAATAAAACCCCATAGGGTTTCCAAGGCTGTAAATCTTTACCAAAGCAGACTGCCCCATATTTCTCCCACAGAGCAGCTGGTGGATTCAAACCACCTATTTTTTGGTTTAGCAACTAAGCATTTAACCACTGCACCACCAGAGCCCCCTTACCTAGCTGTAGCCCAAGGAAGATAAAGTTAAGATAAAGGAGAAAACTGCCATTTCTCAGCAGAAAGTGCTGGATCTCCTTTGAGGCAGAAAGTGGCCTGTAAGAACTGTGGCTATAAATGCCATGACATCCTGAAGAGGGGAAAAAAGTACCAAGTGAAATGATGGGAACACAGTTAAAACCTGTTAAAAGAGAGAAAAAAGTGAAAAAGAAATCAAGCATCTCCAATCAGTGAGATCTGCAAGTACTATGTTTCCATCAGCAATGTCAAGTACATCTCAGCAGTTCACTAAAAGGGCTGATCGGCAAGTGTGGCCAGGAGGTTCAATCATTAAAAGTCGTTAGAAACTAACATGCAGTTGTTAATTCTAGAAGAGGAACTTGCTGCCCTCTGGTGGTTACAGGAGCAGCACTGGTGGTGCAGTGGTTAGGGGCTGGGCTGCTAACAGAAAGGTCAGCAGTTTGAATCCACCAGCTGCTCCTCCTTAGGAAAAAGCTGCAGTCTGCTTCCCTAAAGATTGTTGTTGTTGTTGTTGTTGTTATGTGCCGTCGAGTCATCCCCGACTCATAGCGACCCCTCCTTGGGTTTCCGAGGCAATATCACTACGGAAGTAGGATTGCCCAACCTTCCTTCCGAGGAGTGGCTGATGGGTTTGGACTGCCAGCCGTCTGGTTAGCAGGCAAGTGTCTTAGCCACTATGCTACCAGAGCTTCCTACAGTATCTAGAAGCAAGGAAATAAAAAAGATCAAAGCAGAAATAAAAGAAACAGAAAACAAAAAAAAGAGAAAATCAACAAAACAAAGAGCTGGTTCTTCAAAAAGATTAATAAAATCAATAAACCATTGGCAGACCTAACAAGAGAAAAGAGAGAAGATCCAAATCACAAGAATTGCAAATGAAAATGGTGTCATCACAACAGAACCAACTGAAATAAAAAAGATACAGACAAAATATTATGAAAACTGTACTCCAATAGATTTGAGAACCTGGAAGAGATGAACATGTTTCTAGAATCACAATACCTACCTAACCTATCCCACTCAGAGACAGAAAACTTAACAGACCTATAACAAGAGAAGAAATTGAAGAGGTCATAAAAAAAAACTTCCCACAAAGAAAAG